AAATTTACTTTTGTAGAGATGGCGCTTTTATTCTAGGGGATTCTAACAACGGACCGGAAGTGGTGTCGTGCCGACTGAAGCCATTATCTGTGCTAGCGCTATTTAACCACAAAGCTAACATTTTAAAGTCGCGTACTTAAGCGGTCTGAAAAGGCTGTACTATAATCTAACTGGCTCCTTAAAGCTACCCAGTTTCCAGTTTACCCACCGCATGACAGAGGTGCAGTCGTGAAAGTAATGACTAATTTATATTTAGGGGTCAGGTTGTATTTTTAGCATTAGCCTCTGAAGGTCTGACTGGCAGACATGGAGACTCGGGGAATTGAAGACATGTTTGACTTTCGTCGGTAAGTCAGCTAACTGCTAAGTAGTGTAAACTGCTCGGTTAACCTTAACTTAGCGCTAATTAGCGCAATAAGCGTTGAAGAAATACACAGAGGATATGGCGTCGACGACGTTTATTATCGGGCAGCTAACCAGTATAGTAGAAGATGTATTAAATAATCTGGAAAACATGCAGCTAGATAGCCGATACTGGCAACGTTATAGTAAACAAGTCATGGATAGCGTTTGACATGAAATCTTGTCCAGTGCTAATTTTAATAAGCACGTCGATCAGTTGCAGCATGAAATGCGTGAACTAGCTAATCTTAGATGTCTGTTGGTTTCATGTATTCACTGCTTGCCTTGTGACAACGAAGAGTGAAGTTTAAGAGACTTAATTTTTTTTGATCTAGACGCAAAAGTCAGAGATTATATCTGAGCGCGTGTAAAGGGGAGAAAATAACTGACAGCAAAAGTAGCTGTCGTTGTGTACTTCAATACTAAAGTGTTTTTGACTTGAATAGAGGGCGGACATGAGGCCTGTAGACAGTGGTAATGACGACTAGAGCGTTTATAATGAGGTTTCGAAATGTTCTCTAGCGCTTGACTGCAGAGGGAATCGAGTAGTGACACGTGTAATATTGGTAAAAACGCTGAAACAAAAGCAGCTCTAACTCTGCAATTGGTTTTCATAACGTGTGTACAGTGCTGTGCCTCGAGCCACCTTTCATAGCGTCAGACTTGATTGTAATTTTTTTTTAAGTGGTCTTGAGCATCGGTTCTCCAGGATTTCTGAAGGTCTTTCAACGTTATTCTTTAGACACTTGCTGCCTTTTCACTCATTTTCAGTCCAGTCCTTGTAACGGACCACTTAACACTGATCTATGATTCATTCAGGAATTAAAACCGTGTTGTGTCTACACATAGCAGACAGCTTGGCAAAAAAACAATGTTAAATTACTTTGTTATCAGCAGTCTGTCACAAAAACATAAAGATAAAAGTTTGACAGATGTAATATAATACTTTTGTCACAACAAGGTGATTCCCAAAGTGCTATTTGCTGAAAATTTGGCATATTGCAGCACACTATAGTGTGCAGTGTCCAGTTAATTTGTTTTTAGGAAACTGGATAAGGGGAGGACAAAAGAATTGGCAGTGCTTTAAAAATTATCAACAGCAGATGAGCCAGTAAAAGTCATGTCACAGGACCTGAAAGATGCATCTGGCCCTGCAGTTGACCCAAACAACAAAAAGCACCTAATGCAAGGGAGGATGTTGTATCTTTACATAACA